AGGATGTTCATCATACACAAAATAATAAATGTAATACATCACACTGACAGAAGGAAAGAGAAAACTATGTGATCATATCAATTTGTGCAGAAAAAGCACTTGATAAAAGGCAACATTCCTTCATGATTAAGCTCTCAACAAAATAGGTACAGAAGGTACATTTCTAAACACAATAAAAGCCATATGACAAACCTGTAGCTAACAACATACTGAATGGGAAAAAGATGAAAGTTTTCCCACTAAAGACTGGAATAAGACAAGATTGCCCACTTTCTCCACCTCTGTGCAGGATAGTACTGGAAGTTCTAGCCAATGCGATGAGCTAAGAGAGTAAAATAAAAGGCACTCACATAGGGAAGGAAGAAGCAAAATTGTCCCTTTTACAGATGACGTGATTACATGTATAGAAAATCCAAAGGAATCCATACAAATTCTCCCAGAAGAGATAAAGAATTCAGTAAAGTGGCAGGACACAAAAGCAATATACAAAAATCTATAATGCTGTTATACCCTACCAATGAACAGAGGGAGAACTGAAGAAAGCAATCACATTTACAATAGCCGCACACACACACAAAAAACCTAGGGAGAAACCTAACCAAAGAGGTAAAAGATCTTTACAAGGAAAATTATGAAAAATCCCAAAAAAGAAACTGAATATAAAAATATAAAAAAATGGAAAGACATCCTGTGTTCTTAGATTAGAAGAATCAATATAATCAAAATGTCAGTTCTACCCAACTTAATTCAATGTAATCTGATCGAATGACCAGTGATATTCTTCACAGAAACAGACAAACAAATCATAAAATCTGTCAGGAATTATGAAAGACTCTATATGGCCAAGGCAATATTACGCAAAAGGGCAAAAGGAGGAGGCATCTCACTACCCAACCTCAAAATGTATTACAAAACAACATAGTACTGGTATGAAAACAGGCACAAAGGACAATACAAAAGAATAGAGAATGCATAAACAAACCCCAAAACATATAGCCAACTGATTTTTGACAAAGGACACAAGACAATCCAGTGGAGGAAAGAAAGGCTTTTCAGCACATGGTCCTGGAGGAACTGGATATCCACATGCAGAAAAATGAAACTGGATCTCTCTCTCTCTTACCATTAACACTGATCAATTCAAAATGGATCAAAGATCTAAATGTAAAACCTCACACTATGAAATTACTGATGGAAGAAACCAGTAGATGGTGTAAAGGTTACATTGCTGGACTTCCACACAGTTGACCACAGTTCAAATCCCAGACCCAACGACTTAAAAACCTCACACTATCATGTGTGTGTATGTGCCCAAAATCCTGAAAGGAGAATGAAGGAAAAGGGATGGTGGCATGGCCATCCTCCCTGGGGGGGGGTGATTTATTGCTTTCTTTCTCTCTGCTTCTCCAGTGAACTCGTGTGTCTTATACCAGAAATCTTTCTGAAAAAAAAAAAATTACTGATGGAAAACACAGGGGAAACACTTGAAGACATTGGAATAGGCAAAAATTTCTTAAATAAGACCCCTAAAATACAGGCAACGATTCCAAAAATGGACAAGTGGGATTACATCAGGCTGAAAAGCACCTTCATAGCAAAGGAAACAATAAATACAGTAAAAAACAAAAACAAAAACAAAAACAACCCCTCAGAATGGGAGAACATATTTGCAGATTGTTTCCGATAAGGGAGTGATAACTAGAATATAACAGGAACCTAAGCAACTTACTCACAAAAAAAAAAAAAAAAGAAGAAGAAGAAAAGAAAAGAAAGAATAATCCTTTTTAAAAATTGTGAAAATAAGCAGGACAAATAACTCTCTAAGGATGAGATACATATGGCCAAAAAGCATATGAAAAAGTGTTCAACGTTTCTCATCAAAAAGAAAATGCAAATCAAAACCACATGAAACATCACTCAACCACAGGCAGAAAGGCTGTGATCAAAACAAAAAAACAAAGAATGAGAAGAACTGGCGAGGCTGTAGTGAAAGGGAACCTTTCTACAATATTGGTGGGAATGTAAATTAGTACAAGCAATGTAAAAAACAGTAAATCTACAAAATAACTGCCATATGACCTGGTAATCTTGCTCCTTGGCATTTACCCAAAGGACAGGAAAACACTCAGCTTGAACACTTGAACATTCATGTTTACTGAAGCATTATTCAATTGTTAAGACATGGAATCAATCTAAGTGCCAACAACTGATGACTGAAATTGAACATATGTGGCACATATACACTGTGGAATATTACTCAGTCATAAAGGATGGCAAGACTGTCATTTGAGTCAAAGCAGATGATTACAGACTTATTGCTAAGTGAAACAAGTCATACTATGAAAGATAAACATGGCAGAAATAGAACGGTTCTAAGGTATAAAGTAGGTAGATACTGGAGACTGTATGGGAGTGGGGGCAGAGAGTGGGGAGTGGATGTGAGGGGCTCAGGGAAAAAGCATTTGACAGACAAAAGAATATAAAGTTCTTCACTGAAAATTATGTATATGGTAATATCCTCAATTTGATCATCACACACCACATATATGCTTTGAAAAACAGTGTTGTACACCAAGAAATTATAAAATAAAAAACATGTTAAAGACCTCAATTATGACAGTGATAAATATCTTTTTTTTTTAATTATAAATGTTTGGTACTAAACATTTTCAGGGAACATTAGTACTTTCAGACAAAATAAAGAATACTTATACTTCCCAAGCACAATTACAAAAAAGTCTTTTATACTAAGAACTAACTCATATAAGAAAAAGAAAAATGATCTTTGAGGCATATAGCTAGATAATAAAAAGTTGAACAATTTTTTAAAATCCAAAATGATACATTTTTTTCCTTTTTAAGCAGTTATTTATTTATTTATGTATGTATGTATGTGTGTATGTATGTATGTATGTATTTATGTGTTGTGATTTTTAAGCTGCTGAGTCTGGGACTTGAACGGTGGTCGACATGTGGGAATCCAGCACCTTAACCACCACACCACCTACTGGCCCCTACTTTCTCTGAAATATTTTATTTGCATATGAAAAATAACAAATATGAAGTGATTATATTTTCACCAAATAAAGCCTCTTTATAGAAATATATATGTTTATATATATATATTTATAGAGAGAGAGATAAAGAGAGAGAGATCAACTCTGAGGTTGATGAATGTAAAGTTTAATAAGTAATTCTCTTGATAAAATTTTAGTCAACTCTTTTGAAAACACTGTATAGATAAAAATGGCGTTCACATAAAATACTAAGCATGTGGAAATGAGCACTTACTTTTAGTATCTATTAGCTTCTCTCGTGGTGAAATATCAGAAGAAAGTTGTTCTTTCACTTTGGCAACATCTTTTGGGTGTAAGAAGTCAAACAAGCTTTGTCCAGTCAAACTAGCCTATTTGTAGGTAGACATTAATCTCAAGTCACTATCGTCATTTTCCGTATTTCCTTATACAGATATATAATACCCTTTATTTTTAAAGGTTGATTTTTGTTAAGCTCAAAGATACATTCATTACACTGTGCGACATTAACTTAACTAGTGTTAGAACAGAATTATAGAAGAAAAACAGATACACAGAGAACCATCCTGGATGTCCACAAACCACACACAGCTAGTCAGTAGTATTGTTACATCTTGTTAGCCTGGTAACATTCTCCAATTCACATTACTTCTAAATAAATTATTATGATTTATTTGAAACTTTTTATCCTTAGTAAAAGGAAAGAGGTTACATTACAGTATAATATGGAAGTCACAGAATATTTGTGATTTTATGATAGAACTCAGATTTGCCATGCTATTAAAAAACTATCACATTATTGTAAAACAAAATTCAACCCAAATTACGGCTTGATTCCCATTCCAGCTTTCCCAATGTGCAGAAAGTCCCTAGGTTTATTGCTTACCTGATTGTACCACCTAGAGAATTGATTACCCTTTCCTATGAATGTAATCCCCTGGCTACTCTAGCCAAATGCTTTTTACTCCCTTGATGCTCCAGTTCCCTAGAATCCCTCTCCCAGCTTGAAATGTCTTCTCCTCTGCTTAAGACCCACTTCTGATGAACCTAGCTAACATTCTACTTCATGTGTGAAGCCCTCTCTGACCCACAATGATCACCCTCTTCTAAGCTCCTATGTGACTGAAGTAGTCATTCCAGTAACAGGTGCGACAACGGACCATGATACAGTAGCATGGACTACTTGGCAGTTAGATATACTACAAAAACTAGAATCTGATTTATGAATTAGTCTGCTGTGTGTTTGGTTTATATGAGTCTGTGTCCAGAACTCTCTATTAGGGCAAATTAAGCTTCTGAATCTGAAAAGCTGAGAACTAGACCCTTAATCACAGGAATCCCAAGATCCCCTTGAGCAGCCAGTGCATCTCTTAAATAGCCTCTGATACACAAAGTTAATCCCCATTGGAACCGAACTTCCTGTCACTAATTTGGAACTTAAGTACCACCTTGAATTATCAGGGGCAGGTGTGCCTGTGTGTGTATGTGTGTGTGTGTGTGTGTGTGTGTGTGTGTGGTGGAGGTGTGCTCAACCTCCAATTAGAAGATGGAATCATCAGGTCTTGCACCATTCTTGGTTTCCCAGCTACAACAAGATGCATGACTCAAGGGCTCTCAATCCTCTGTGTACAGGCTCCTAACACCTCTCCTTCTGTTATTTCATCTTTATCTGTGAATACCTTATACCCCTCCATACTTGAAAATAGGCTGGAACTAGTGGGAGGTACACAAGACCAAAGTTATAGTCTGATTTCTAGTTTAGTGAGACCACAGGTGCTAATTTATTCACTCTGTTGGACACGGTTTTTGAATAGTTAGCATAAATTAAACCATGTTCTGTAATGAAGGGGCAAGCACCTAGCTAGTTAAATAGATGTATTTTAGAGTTTGCTGCCAGAGATAAGATCAGAAACCATTACACAACGCACATAACTTAATAATAAACAATAATGCTCTCTCTTGGAGGGAAAAGAATAGTGACTAAGACTTCAAGACATTCTCAGATATACCTTATTTAGTCTTTACATCTTGAGAGATAAGTATAATCATCATTTCCACTTTTTACGTAGGAGGAAGCTGAGACTCAGTACAATTAAGCAACTTGCTGAAGGTCAGGAAGGGAACACTAATGTCAGTAATAGCAATCCATGCACTTCCCACACATCCTTCCATCTCTCCTGGAGTTCTAACTTAGCAGAACCTCACCCCACATCCCATTTGGAAGAACGAACTGAGAAAAAGAACTTCGAAAAACGTGTTCATTCAGAATATCAGACAATGTGTGGAAAATTTCTTCTGTTTTGGATACCTGATCATAATTAAGTATTTTGGAGACTGACTTAGAAACGAAGAAAATTTTTCCTCTTTCACATCCAACCACAAATAGGAAGCCTTCTGCGGTCTAAAATAATAAAAAAGAGAAGTGAATATTTAAAAGTATCTTCTCTCTCTCACATACACACATATTCAGCTATTGAGAAAATGATTGGGGCCATAAAACTAAGGCATGCACAGACTAGGGACGAGGAAGGGCTGAGGACATTTTACCCTGCACCCTTTTACACTTTCAGAATAATGGTAAGGTCTCACTCGAAACTAGATTGCAAAAATTCAAATATTTCAGTCACTTTCATAAGGTCTATCTGGCAAATCTCCTATAAAGCAGCCTAATGGGAATGGATACATGTGCACACACAGGGCAAGCCTGGTCACGCCCACTCAACATTTCCTCAAATTAATTCTCTCTCTCTCTTTTTTTTTTTTTTTTTTTTTTTTTTTTGCCATAAGGCAAAGGCACCATCTACTTTTTTTGCCATAGGGCAAGTGCACTCATCAGAGAGAGAGAGACAGAGAGATAGAAAGAGAAGTGAGAATCACCCCTTGGAAGGATGGCCATGCCACAATCCCTTCTCCTTCATTCTCCTCTTGGGATTTTGAGCACACACACACACACACGTGTGGCGTGTTTCAACCCGCCAGGTCCAGAACTTGAACCGTGGTTGATCGTATAGGAGTCCAGCACCTTAACCACCATGCCACCTGCTGGCCCCTCCTTGAATGAATTCTTACCAATTGGAAACAAACATGTAAATTAGGCAGACATGTTCTATAGGAGGCAGATGCAACGTTATATGGAATTATGACAAAAACCACTTAAAGATTGGAGAGAAAGCTTCCAAAGTATATTGTACTTTTTGCTATCATTAAAAGAATTTTTTTAATATACAAAAGAAACCTTTGTATTCCTTCCAGCAATGTTATATTTAAATTCACATGTTCAAATAAGCTTGCTAGGGCCAGGAGATGGCACAGAGGTTAAAGTGGCTGGATCCCATTTAGAAGACTGTGTGGTTCGAGTCCTGGACCTGGTGGCTTAAAAATTATGCCAGGTGCATGTGCCTGTGTTCCCAAAACCTCAAGAAGAGAACCTAAAGAGGAGAAGGGATAGTGGCATGGCCATCCCTCGGCTGTGATTTCTCACTCTTTTTTCTCTCTCTGTTCCTGTCTCTCTCTCTCTCTCTCTAAGGAATACACACACCCTACAGCAAAAACTGAAAAACAAACAAAAGAAATGAATAAGCATTGCTTTCTAGAAAATTAAAAATGAACAAAAATATATATGAAAGGTCTATTCATTCAGACTATTGCTAATGCCTGGTGTCACAGTTCATAACCAAGACACTTCCTACCCCTTGGGGGCAGGATAAGTCAATGTCATGGTCATATTCTCCATGTCCAATAAACCTCTGAACAGACTTCTGAAAACTCATGTATGGGGAATGCCGTGAGGTCAAAACCAACTCACTAAGTGGTGACCGGTTAGTCTTTAGAGAACAAGATTTGAAAGGACTGGGATGCCAGGGAGATGGATTTTAAGGAGGTGGCATAAAGATATACTTTGTCCCATATTTTGCCAAGTGCCTATCCTTGGTCTCTACTTTCATTAGCCCAGACTAATATGACATGCCTAATTCTATCATTTAAATTTCTGTATTAAAGGAAATAGAGTCCTATACTTTTACACTAGGAAGCAGATTTAAGAAAATCAGTCTCCCGTTCAAACAAAAACTAGAAGACAAATACAACTGAAAGGAATAGGTCTCTTTACTTACCTTAAGAATTAAGTGTCTGAGCTCATTATCCTGAATAAATGAGGGTCTATAGTTATTCCCTACATAAGAATTTGTTATGCCTAAAAAGAGACAAGTGGGAAAAGTTATTTAAAACACAGTACAGGAGTCAATGTAGTAAGTGCTCCCTGAACGTTAGCAATGCTGCCGCTGCTACTGATAGTAATGGTGGTATTTTCCCTTTTAGCATATTCTAAGAAAGCTATACTCTTTTTCCTGCTTTATTGCAACCACATTAAAATTTCTTACTTTGAGATTTTGAATTCACGGAACTACTTATTTCCATATACCCAGATGTGCAGAGTAAGAGCTGTGCATAAAGAGGAACCAACAGAACAAGATGCACACAACAATATTCAAGAAGCTATACAGTTATTTGGATTAGTTCTTAGCTTATTAAAACTGATTCTATGGGAAACAGCAAGTGGAATGATGGTTAGGGTGCTAGCCTCCCACATGGCCAAACGTGGCTCAAGTCCCAGATCTAGCAGCTTCCTTTCTTACTTTCCCCAAATCTCTCTAGTGAGTGCAAGTGTCCTATAGCAAATTTAAAAATAATAATAGTAATAATAAAGGCATAATGGTTCTATCATTAGATTCCCATGTAGTTGACCACAGATTGAGTCCCAGACCCGGTAGCTTAAAATTCACGCTGGGGGGACCAGCAGTTAGCGTAATGGCTATGTCGCTGAACTCCCACATGGTCGACCGCAGTTCAAGTCCTGGACCCGGTGGCTTAAACTCACACTGGGCATGTGTGCGTGTATGCCCAAGATCCCGAGAGGAGAATGGAGGAGAAGGGATTGTGGCATGGCTATCCTCCCTGGGAGGTGACTTCTCACTTTCTGTCTCTCTCTGTCTCTCTGGCAAGCGTACGTACCCTATAGCAAAAAAAAAAAAAAAAAAAAAAAATTCACATTGGGTGTGTATGTGCCCAGAATCCTGAGAAGAGAACAGAGAAGAAGCGACTACAGCATGGCCATCCCCCCAGGAGGATGATTTTTTTGCTTTCTGTCTCTCTGGCGAACACACAAGCCCTATAGCAAAAATCTCTATCAAAAAAATTAAATATTTCTTAAAAAGGGGGGGGGGGACAATAGGTGGTATGGTGTTTAAGGGTGCTGTACTCCCATATGGCTGACTATGGTTCAAGTCCCGGACCTGGCAGCTTGCTTTCTCACTTTCTCTCTCTCTCTCTCACTCACTCACTCACTCACTCTGTCCCTCTCTGGTTAAATTAAAATAAATTTAAAAATAAAGTTAAATAATTCTTAAAACAAACAAATCCCCTAAAAAATTGATTCTGTGAATTACCCCCAAGAAGATTCTGGGATTCTAAACAAATTTTATGCAGTCATAGGGTTGTCAAATAAGAAAAGCCCTTTAATGACCACATGGAGACCTCTGTTCTGAGAATATAAAATATTATAAAATTAAATGAGATAATTCACTTTAAGTCCTTAGCACAGAGTTATTTTATTAAAATTAAAGTCTCCAAAGCAACTGAGGGGTTGGGAAAATTATATGAAATTATCAGGACAAATCCAAAATAAAAGTTTAACACGAGAAAAGGAAAGCTCTGAAATTCATCAGTAGTGAATCTACCAACTCTGACATGCAGGAGTGTCTCGAGGCCACAAGGGGGAGTAGAGAGCAGTCCACAAAGCCAAGGAGTGACATCTCAGAGCAAGAGTGATTCAGAAATAAATTATCACTTATACTCACCAACCTCCTTAACCTAGCCCAACCACCTCCCCGGGGACTGAAAGAAGGCTGATCTTGCCAGAGAAAGGTGGTGGAATACTCCGAGACATTTTTAACTTAAATGTTTTCATAACTCTTAATTAATATAATACTTGTACATATTTATGGGGCACAGTGTGGTTTTTCAATGCATGAATAGTATATAATGATCAAATCAAGGTAATTGGGAGAGCCATTGCCACAAACATTTGTCATTCCTGTTTTTGTTTGTTTGGATGTTTTTTAGATTTTTTCCATAGGGCATGAGTGCTTGCTGAAGGGAGAGAGCGAGAGAAAAATCATTCTGGGGTGGTGGCCACGCAGCAATCCCATCTCCTCTCAGGATTTGGGGCATACATGCACATATACCCAGTGTGTTTTTCAAGCCAGGACTCAACACATGGAGTCTTGCTATTACTGTTTATCTATCTGTCTATATGTCTACCATATTGACTTCTTGATTTATTTTTCGGATATTTCATCATTCATGTATACAAATGCACTGATTAGGCCAGCTGGTGGCATGGCAGGTAAGGCAGCTGGACCCCCACATGGCCAGCTGTGCAGTTCAATTCCTAGACCCGGTGGCTTCTGAAACTGCCAGATACAAGGGCATGCCTAGAATCCCAAGGAGGGAATATAGGGGAAGGGGCTGCAGTGTGACCACACCCCAGGGAGGTGCTTTCTCACTTTCCCTCTATGTCTGTCTCTGACTCTCTCTCTGGTGAGTTCATGCACTCTCTAGCAATTTTTTTTAAAAAAAGAAATGGCACTGATTTTTGTATGATTTTGTTATTCTACAACTTTTACTGATGTTGCTTATCAGTGGAATCTTCAGGTTCTTCTATGTATAAGACAATACACAGGGCCAGGAGGAGGTGTACTGGTTAAGGGGCTGGACTCCCACAAGGCTGACAGTGGTTTGAATCCCAGACCACGTGGCTTACAAAATCACACCAGGGGACCAGCAGTTAGCATAATGGCTATGTCTCTGGACTCCCACGTAGTCGACCGTGGTTCAGGTCTGGGCCTGGCGGCTTAAACTCACGCCGGGCGCGTGTGCGTGCGTGCCCAAGATCCCAAGAGGAGAATGGAGGAGAAAGGATTGCAGCGTGGCCATCCCCCCTGGGGGGTGATTTCTTCCTTTCTGTCTCTCTCTGTCCTTCTGGCGAGCGCCCGCACCCTATAGCAAAAAGCCTCTCCAGAAAAAAAAAAAATAATCACACCGGATACCTGTGCGTGTGCCCAAAATCCCGAGAGGAGACTCAAAGAGAAGGGAATGCAGCACAACCATCCCCTAGGGGGTGATTTCTCACTCTCCCTCCCTGTCTCTAACTGGCAAGTGTATGTGTCCAAAAATAAATACCTTTTAAAAAATCCTATCATCTGAAAACAGGGGCAATTTGGATGCCCTGTTTTTTTCTCTCTTGGCTAATTGCTCTGGCTAGGATTCCCAATAACTAAGTTGAATGGGAATGAAAGAGTGGACATGCCTGTCTTGTTCCAATTCTTAGAAAAAAAGCTTTCCACTTTTCCTGATTCAGTATGTTGTTTACTGTGGTTTTATCATCATGATATTTATTGCACTGAAGTATGTTTCTTTTATACCTAATGTGTTGAGTGTTTTTATCATGAGGGAATGTTGAATTTTACCAAATGCTGCTTCTTCATCTATTGAAATGACCAGATGGATTATATCCTTTGTTCTGTTGATGTGATGTATCATATTTATTGATTTGTATATGTTGAATCATCCTTGAATCCCTAGGATAAATGCCATCTGGTCATAATGTATGAGTGTTTTTTAAAGATTTATCTTTTTTTTTTTTCTTTTAATTCAAAATAGGGCATGTGTACTCATGAGAAAGAGAGAGAGAGAAAGCAACTGCCAGGTCTGGGACTCAAACTATGGTTGGCATATGGAAGTCCAACACCCTAGTCACCATGTCACCTGCTGGCCTTAATGTGTAACCTTTTTAAAGTGCTGTAGGATTCAGTTTTCCTAGTCCATTACTGAAAGATTCTGCATTTATATTTACCAGGGATGTGATTTGCAGTTCTTATTTTTGTTATATCCTTATCTGGTTTACTATCAAGATAATGCTGCCCTTGCAGAATGAGTTTGAAAGAATTCCTTCCCCTTGAATTTTTCAGAGTAGTTTGAGATCAACTGGCATTAATTCTTCTTTAAACTTTGGGAAGAATTCAGTGGTGAAGTCAGCAGGTCCTGGGCTTTTCTCTGTGGGAGACTTTTCAATTACTGATTCAATCCCACTACTGTCATCGGTCTGTTCCAGTTTTCTGCTAGTTCATGGTTCAATCTCGGTAGGCTGTATGTGTCCAGAAATTTGTCCCTCTAGATATTCCACTTGGTCACCACGCAGATGTTCCTAATAATCTCTAAAGATCTCTTGTGTTTCTGTGGTATTAGTTATAATATTTCCATTTCAATCTCTGATTTTATCTACTTGGATATTATTTATTTTATGTATTCATTTCTCTTTACTTGGTTAGCTTAGCTAATGGTTTGTCAATTTTATCTTTAAAAAAAACAACTTTTCATTTCACTGATTTCTTGTAAGTTTTTGTTGCAATTTTACTTTTGTTCTGATTATTCTTATTTCTTTTCTTCTACTAATAATAGGCTTGGCTGGCTCTTGCTTTTCTAGCTCCTGAGGTGCATCATTAGGTTGTCCATTCAAAATCGTTCTACTTCTTTGATGCAGACATTTATTAAACCTCCCTCTTATTACTTTTTACTAAATTCCATAGGTTTGGGTATGTTGTGATTTCATTTTCATTTGTTTCAGAGCCTTTTTAAATGTTCTTAATTTCTTCATTGATTCAGTAGTCCTTCAGGATTTTGTCTAATTTCTGCGTATTTGTACAGTTCCCAACGTTCCTGTCATTATTGATTTCTAGTTTCATTCCATCATCATCAGAAAACTCTCTTGATATGATTTCAATTTTTAAAAATGTATTGAGACTTGCTTTGTGACATATCATGTGGTCTCCTCTGGAAAACGTTCCCAGCACTGATGAGAAGAACGTGCATTCTGCAGTTGTTAGATAAAATGTTTTGCAAATATCTGCAAGGTCCATTTGCTCTACAAGTGCAGTTCACTTATATTATTTTAAAAATATAGTTATTGAGGCCCAGCCAGGCATTGGGCTCTGGGCCTTCCCACCGGAGAATCTGTGCCCCCCCGCCCCCGGCCCAGCTCGCCACCTGGTGCCTGGGCGATCCACTGGCAGCAGTGAGGACCAAGATGGCAGATTATGGTGAGGAGCCACGAAACGGGCTGGAGGCTCTGGAGTC